GATAAAATTGGGAGCGATGATTGAGCTACTTTCACTTTAATATACATGGTCCTAAAATATCCCGTTTGTTTTTTTGCTAATGATATTATACTAGTTGCCAAAGCTAATCTTCAATAGGCTAATGTCGCAAATTTTGTCTTAAATGACTTTTGCTCTGCATCAGGATTAAAAATTAACTCCAAAAAGTCCTCTCTCTTTTTCTCTAAGAGTACTTATTCAACCTTGATTCAGGCCATTAGTGAGAATTTGAGAATTAGTCCATCTTGTCAATTTGGTAGATAACTTTGGCATTCCTATAAGTCATCATAAATCTTTTAAACAACATTTTTCCTTCTTTATTGACAAGATTAGAAAAAAATTGTCTCTTTGGAGAATGAACTCATATTCTCTTGCTGGTAGGGTAACCTTAGCTCAACTTGAGGAGTATTTCCTCCTATATTATACAAATTATCCTCATCCTTGTCTCTATCTGCAATGAGATTAACATTCTCTATAAGCAATTCATTTGGGAATTCCTAGGGCATAGGGAAAGTCATTTAATTGGATGGAAAAATATTTGTAAACCAAAAAAAAGGATGAACTGGGTTTTAAAAACCTCCAAAATCTGAACAGAACATACTTAATGAAATTATGTTAGAGATTAAGAAATATAATTTTATCTCTGGTAAGTGTCCTAGCCTCAAAAGTTCTCACTTATGGAAAAGTCTTATCTCTGTCTAGCCCACCTTTTCCAAGGGATTAGTTGGTGTGTTAAAGATGGTATGTCAACTAAGTTTTGGACTGACAATTGGAATCCTCAAGTCCCTAATTTATCAAAAGTCTCTCTAGTCCCTTCCTCTACCATAGACTTAGAAACCCTTGTGGCTTTATTTTCCGCTAAAAATGGATGAAACTGGGATAAGATTACTATTGTTCTCCCTCCTCAAATATGTAATATCAAGTTATTCTCCTTGCCATGTCCAAGAACCCAATTTATATATTCTGGAATCTCACAGCAAATGAGGTTTGGAAATGACAAGGGTCTCCTAAAATTTTTCTTTTTTTTTTTTTAAATTGGCTCATGAAAAATTACTTACCAATTAGGAAAGACATTAGGGGTATGACTGACTCTCTTTTTTGTCCTAGGTGTGGGGAAGCTCCAAAATCTATCATGCATATTCTTAGAGATTATTTTTATGCTAGAAAAGTTTGAAATCATTTTATCTTCTCTGATTAACAGACTTCTTTTTTCAGTATAGGTGTTAGGGATTGGTTGCTTATGAACCTTTCTAATCATAACTATAGTAAATTTATTGACTGGTGTAGTTTATTTGGAGTGATCATATGGCATATGTGGAAAGACAAATGATTTTATTTTTCAATCCCTCTCTATTCAATGACACGTGCTTATTCAAAAAGTGTTATGTGACTCTAATTTTTCTCTCTTTGCTTCAAGAAAAATACTTAATCCAAGCTTGCTAATAATCAAAGCAGAGTCAAATTGGATTCTCCCTCCTTATGGTCAATTTAAATTGAATGTTGATGGGGCTTTTTCCTCTTCCTTTATTGTTGCAGCCTGTAGAGGTCTTATCCAAGATAACAATGACGAGTTGCTGACTGGTTTTTACAGCAAAATTGAAACTTTTCTCCTCTAGCAGTTGAGTTATGGAGCATCTTCTTTGGCTCTTAGCTTGTGGTCCTTAAAGGAATCAATACTATTTAAATAGAAAGTGGCACTAAGGAAGCTCTACACTTAATTTTGCATTTACAGAATTAGTCTTAGCCTTTCTTTCATTTAATTTGTAATATCAAGAATATCTTAAAGTATATTAATTTCATTAGATTTACTCACACATTTAGGGAAGCAAACAATTGTCCTAATAGATTAGTCAAAATGAGCCTTGAAGACTCTCTTCCTTATACTTGTTTTGATGTAGCTCTTAGGTCTCTTCTTCCCTTTTTATGCCTTGATGCTAGTAGCATCTAGTATGGTAGAGTTGATTTTTAAGTTTTTCTTTTTCTTTTTGCTTTAAGCCCCGTTGAATAACAAAAACAAATTAATATTTTTTCTCTTATTTTTAAAATATCAAATAATATTTTAATAAATAAATTTTATTATTTTAAAATTATAATAAATTTAACCAATCAATTTAAAATATTATACCCTCAAATACACTATTCAACTTATAGAAAATTGTTACATTATAACCTGCAAAGATAGCCTTTGAGAGCTTTTGATTATTTTAAAATTTTGAGTGCTTAAACATGCAAAAGCGTAAACAAATCAAAGTGCAGGTACAGTAACTATCGATTTAAATTACCTCTATCATAAAAGTAAATTCTTGTAAAATTTTATCGCATTATTATCACCCTTGCAAACATGTAAATATCAATACTTGTGTGAATTGATTACATAAGCTTGATTCTGGTATTGTTGAACAAATTAGACAGAATGCGTGAAAGAAAATTGGAAGCACCATGTATATCTGAAAACACTAACAATGAAGGTTCACTGAAAAAATATTTAATTCTCACAATCGATAGGTAAAAGCCAAATGTTACTGCAGAAGTTACATGAAATATATATCCTATATTATTATTCCTCTAAAGCAAATAATGACGGAGGCAAGTAATTTTACAAAATACACGGTGAAGTCTTATATTACAAATGTGCGACGTGGCTAGCTATATCAATATATACCATTAATATAATATATTAGCATAAAATAAAAATCCTAAATTAAAATAAAACATCAATATTTCACAAAGAACATTTAATTATTTTATACACAGTAAAAGTATTATCATTTATCTAATCATTATGATATATTTAATAAAATAATTGAAAAATACACTTAAAAAGTACATGAGAGAGATTCAATATATTTATCATATAATGTTATGATAATCATTTTCAAATTGAGGCTATTAACAATTCTATATATATATATATATATATATATATATATATATATATATATATATTCATTCCTCATTATTTTTAAATTCTATTTTACTTTCCTAACTTGTCATTGTTCAACTTTTAAAAAATGTAAGGGTAAATCATATAAGGTAGCTTTCTTGATATTTTATATGAAACTAAAATAATAATAAAATAAACATGAATTATTTTTATTTGAATAAAAATAAAAAATTCTACAATTATGATGATATATTTTGCTTGTGCAAAATATTTCATATCATTTTTAATTTAAAAAAATATTGTATTTGATTAGTATATTACAAACATTAAACTTAAAAAAAAAGTATTAGATGAGATATTAGAAATGAAAAAAAAAAAGGCAAGGAATAAAAAAAAAATTCGTACATAAAAACATTATTATAACTTTCATTTAAATGAGTAAACAGTCAAGTTATAAAAGTTAAAGTTTATAAAAAAAATCAATCAACAAATAATATTTGAAGTAATTAGCTATAAATAACACTAAAAAAAGTTTGAATAAGGTAGGTTTTGCTTACCTGTTAGCTATAATCATGGTCAGACATAAACAACTACACGCACAGCTTAAATAGATCTGTTTTACAAGGACTTATATATTAATTAATGTATTGCCATCATAACACCTTTATATATCAACCGCAAATCATTTTGCCAGATGCTATTTATTACCTCCCCATATATTGAACGCCTTAACAATTTAGGTTTGAATAGGGCATCAAAAGAAACTTCCAAAAATCCTTTACCTGCTGAAGTAGAAGGAAAAGTATGTCTAAAAGATAAACACCTTATCAAAACTTTATACATTAATTGTAAGGCCTTCAACAGAAGAAACCCTCCAAAAATAAGTGTATGCTATTGTGAGTGACTGAGCAGTTCGTTTTTATTCATGATTAGAAATGGAATCATAATTTATATTTGGTTATGTTGTCATATTTTTTGGATCAAACTTTTCTGGATGTTATTAGAGAAAGTAAATTGAAGACGGACTCGTGCGCTCCATGAAAATGAACTTGGACAGGATCTAATAGGTAATATTATCGTTAAGACACTTAAAAATTGAACTAGCTAGTTTCGTTCAATGACAAATTACATTTCACAGGACCAAAACAACCTTCATTGCTACCATAGAAATTTGAGGTGTTAGTGACAAGCAGCAATTGCAATTCATGAGCACCCCAAAACAGTGACAAATTCCAAATGCACGCCTCTTCTTCCAATTAAGTGATCAAAGGTTTAAGCTCATCGCAGTTTGCATCACAGAATTCTTGCAATCCATCTTCTCATCTTGCAAGATGGCCCAATGTTTCATCAACATTCATTTTTTCGTCCTTCCTTTCCATATTTTCCTCATCCTCAGCATATCTTCAAAACACTAAGCATAATATATAAAATTGGTTACACATAGACATTTGAGGCAAATTAGGCTGTTACACTCAGCAAACAAAACAACAAATCTTAATAGCCTAAATTTAAAGGGATTAGAGTATAGGAAAATAATGTCTACAGCAGCACAGTGGTGAACTTTCTGTGTTATACATATTTCCATGAATTGCACTGTATTGGATAACAAAAGCCAGCCGAATAGATTGAATGGATGAAGCAACCGCTCCTTTGAATTTTGAAGCAACTGACATTTTCTCTAACCATGAGATTTACATGTTGAGGATAAAAGGCTGCAAAAATGCGAATGAATGCATATATATCTATTCCCTCTTGTTAAAAAATAGTGTTGAGAGCCAACCCCATTTGGGAATGGGTCAGAGGCCTACCTTTATCAGTTTTAAATATTCCAAATATTAGTCATAATATTAATTGAGAAGAGAACAAGAATCTAGTCTCAACAACTACTGTATCAATTAAACAAGCCATCACTATCCAATAAAAGATAGGGCTAATTTCGAGCACATTTTTATTGTAAAAGAAATAACCACCACAACGTTTCAACCTCAATTAGATAAATGATAGCTTTCACATGCTTATAACAGCAGGAAAATATAAACCTTGATAAAAATTTAAACATAAGAAACCCTAAAATGAACCTTTTATACTTAATATTGTAGGGTTTCTACAAAAGAAACCCTCCAAAAATATGCGTATGCCGCTATGAGTGGCGAATACACGGTATTCTTTAGTAAAAGGCGAAAGAATAGTTCGCTTTGTACTCACCACACGGCTCCGTTTTTGGCAGAATAGCATGATCTTTAATTTTATATTGAGATTTCTTGCTCCCTCTTTGTACTGTATTCAATGTGGGCTCTGAATCATAGCTCTTCTTCTCATTCTCAACAAAACCTGTAGTGCCTCCAGAGTCAAGTCTACTCCTCAGTTCGTTTTCATTCAAAGATTATGGATGGAATCTTACATTTGGTGCTATGACAATTTTCCAGTTACACATAATGTGGATTTTAGTGAGCAAAGTAATTGAAGTACCCCAAGAATTAGAAGTCTCACGAGTGAAGCTTGATTCCACATGATTAATGTCTGGTTTGGTACATGAAAAACCCGCATGGAAAATGACTTTGGTGAGGATTGACTAATGGGTAATATGTAGACACATTTAAGTAAACCAATTCTCTTCAACTACTAATCATATTTTTATGCAGTGCCTTAGAACAATAAAATCTGTTACATAGCACAGATAATGGAGGCAAAATAGGCTATGATAGTCAACAAACAAGAAACAAACTCTAGTATGCTAATTCCAAAGGGACTTGAGTATCATACTTCTGGCAAATGATACATTCTACAGGATAGTAGTGAACTTGCTGAGTTTATTTACCTGTATAGGTTGTTATGTATATTTTCATGAACTGCACTCTATTGGATGACAAAATGTCAGTTGAATTCATTGAATGCACGAAGTGAATCACTTTTTAGAATTGTTAAGCAGCTAACATCTTTGATCATTATATTTACACGTTAAAGAAAAAAGCCACAAAAGTGCAAATGAATAAGCCATATGGATGTGATGAATCCATTCTAGTTTTAGTTCTGATATATAAAGTTTTGTTTATAGTTTTAGCTATCTGAGAGTCAAGGTGATTATTGTATCCTAGAGTGATTAATCCTAAAATCCTAAATTAAAAATTATTTTAGTGAATAATGATACTTCAAAATTATTGTCATACCTGATATGTATGTCATATCAAATCTTCCCCAAAACCTTGATACTTCTAGTCTTTCTTTTTTTGTTTTTAATATTATACCAATACAAGTATATATAAGATACTACAACGATTAGATAAATAATAATTATTTTGTGTCTAAAATAATTAAATATACCTTATGAAATATCTGTCTTTATATTTAGTTGATATTGTAATAATTTTATAAGTTATGAATCTTAGTATTTAAATTTTTAAGTTAGTCTCCGAAATTGTATGAGTTCTGTACTAGTTTTCTGATTTTTTTAAAAACTCCTTCCTAATTTTGTAAAACAGCATTTGTTTTAAATTTTTTTAGCATATATCTAAAAAGATAAAGTGAAAAGAGACTAAAATAAATGACTTTTTACAAAATCAAATACTAACAATTGTTTTATAAAATTTACAGGCATAGTCCATATAATTTTGGAAATTAACTTCTGAATTTACTTATTATATAGACAATACATGTGCTTCTGTTTTGGTGGTGTTTTATTATATTTGTCACTCAGTCTGTCATTATATTCTCCAAATCCATCCATCTTAAATAATATTACATAGAAAAATTTAATCTAAAACATTTGCATAATAAATTGTATTGAAACAATTAAAAAAGTTATTAAAATGTTTTATCTTATGAAAATTGTCATTTAACATGTTAAAGTAAGACATAATCACCCTTTACTTTTTATAATATTTACGCATTTAACTATTTTAACAATGCATTAAAAAATCTATATAATTATTAAATTTAAAAAATGAGTTCTTCATATTAATGTTATTAATGGTGTTGTCCTCTAATTAGTATTAGAGTCTTACAATATACATTTTTTATTTAATATGATAGTTAAGCTTGGTTTTCTTTACCTGCTAGTTGTATCTTAGATTAAAAATTACACTTTGGCTTGATGACAACAAGAAGAAGCACTTATACTGTGTCGACCAACTTTGTTTTCGTCGACAAAAGTAAAAATAAGAATGTTATCAAGTGCGAAGCATGTCGACCACTGGAATTTATTACCTTCTTACCAGTAAGGATTAAGAAATAGAAAGCCTTAAAAGAAAATTGACACTTGAATTATAGGGCTTCAAGATAAGAAACCCTCCAAAAATAAGTGTAAACCGCTTTAAATGGCAAGCACACGGTATTCTTTAGTAAAAGGCGAAAGAATAGTTCGCTTTGTGCCCCCCACACGGCTCTGTGCATTGACACAAAGCTTGCTCATTCATTTAATATTAAGAGTGCTGGCTCCTTCTCCGTACTGTATCTGATGTGGGCTTCAATTGCACTTCTTATTCCCACACATGACCTTTATGGTGCCTCCAGAGTCAATTTTTCCCTCAGCAGCTTCCTTTTATTCTTAGAGTAGGAAGGAATCGTAGTTCATAATTTGATGTTATGATATTTATTGGGTTGCACAATCTGTGGTTGTTACCAAGCAAAAGTGATTGGAAGTACACAGCAGGAATTTGAAGCTTGCTTTCACATGACCAATACATCCTTAGTATACCTGAAAGACCCCCGGTGAAAATGACCTTGGTTAGGATTAACTAATGGATAATTTGCAGACACATTAAAGAAAACAATTTTGTTCAAGGACTAATTATATTTTAGAGTGCCTAAATAACCTTCATTGCTACTATAGAAACCTGAGTAGTAGTGGTCAAGCAGTTCCAATTCATGTGCAACACCTAAAAGGTGGAAACTTTCAAAATTCAGACCACTTCTTCTAAGTGATCAAAGGTTCAAGCTCATTACAACTTTCATTACAGTATTCTTGCAATCCATCTTCTAATCAGCATATTTTTTCCCCACATATTTTTGTCCTTCCTATCAAAGTTTTCTCCTTCACAAAGCTCTAAGCACTATTAATAAAATTTGTTACCAAGCATAGAGCCTGAAGCCATATGGTGGATACATTTCAGTTTAGCTCTGATATATAAAGCTTTGATATACAAGGCTTTGCATTTGCTATCTGACATCTTAGACTGTGGGTGATTATTGTATTCTAGAGCGATTTATCGTAAAATTCCCCATCAAAAATTATTTTAGGAAACAACGCTACTTCAAAATTATTGTTATATCAGTATATATATCATCATATCAAATCATTCTCAAAATCTTTTGACACTTCTGGTCCATATTTTTCAGGTTGTTTTTTTTCGGTATTATACCAGTACAAGTAATAAGATACTGCATTTATTAGATTAATGATATTATTTTTTGTTTCTAAATAATTAAATATAATTTATAAAGCATCGATGTCTTTATTTATATATTTTATTTTAATATTATAATAATTCTACTAGTTTGTTGAATCTTAATTCTGTTTTATTTATAAATTTTAGACTTTATCATGTTTTTTTCTTTTTTTGTTGTTATATTTATGACCGAACGTAGTTATATATATTTTATAGATCTATATGTATATATAGAAGGATTTTTTCATACTAGTGTAAGTTTAAAAACTCTTTCACTTGATCTGAATTTTTTATTTAACTTATATTTAAAGTTAGTGAAGTAATTAAATTATAACAATTAAATGTAAGTTAAATAAAAAGTTTAAATCGAGTGTAAGAGTTTTTAAATTTATATTAGTTTAAGAAGATTTTGACATATACATATATATATATATATATATATATATATATATATAGGAGACATTTCAAGTGAGAAAAGTTTGCATTGTCAGATGTGAGAGGTATTAATAATGGTAATTGAATTAATAATTGGCAAGAGAGAGAAAGTGGTCTCTCACATCTCATAATAACAAACTTTTGTTACTTAAAATTCTTTCATATATATATATATATATATATATATATATATATATATATATATAATATGCAATTATAATGTAATTTTAATATTAAAATTTATATAAGAAATTTGTCTTGAAATAATTAATAATGCTATTAAAATTTTATATAATTTAATATTATTTGAAATAAACTTTGATGCATTATTGGTATAAAAAAAACTACAATATCAATCAATTAAAAATCACTATAGGTATGAGTTTCGAAATAGTTATTATAAAGTCAATGACTAAGTCATATAACAATCTACCACAATGCATAAAACAAAATCAAACTATATAATTATGAAATTTTAAAGATGAGTTTCTATATTATAGTTAAAATATTAAAAGTTCATTTGAGTTTATTTATTTTATTTAAAAAGTTAAAAAAAATTTAGTAACTACTCTAATAAAAAATCAACAGATATTTGTACATTATATCACAAACAACTAATTATGTTCATGAAATTTAAAGCAATCCATCCCAAGTCAGAGTCATTTCCATATATTGTCTAAGGGACTAAAATTTGATACGCAAAAAACTTCTCATATTCTGCAATTTGGTAAGGTTTACAAGTCTGTACTTGTTTTTCCTTACCTGCTAATTGTTACTAAATAATATAAGATTAGACTTTGGCTTGAAGACAACTTCAAACACAGACAGGTTTCACAATCACTTACACGACTAATTTGTTTTTATCAACATAAGTAATAATACTAACATTATCAACAACGAAGCATTTCGCCAGATGCAATCTTTTACCTGCTCATTACATGGGCAATGTTAAAACATTAAATCGAATCTAGAACACCCTTATAAAAGTTTAAAATTGAATTGTAGAGCCATCAACAGAAAACCTCAAAAATAACATATGCCAAAGTGAGTAGTGAGCACACAATATTCTTTAGTAAAAGGCAAAAGAATAGTTCAGTTTGACCTCATCAAATGTCTCCATGGCTTGACATAAAATGTGCCCTTTCATTTTATATTAAGATCTCCCCTCTATGGCTGTATCTGTGTGCGCTTCCAAGAATTTCCCATTCCCATAAAGATAGCCTACTCTGATGCCTTGAGAGTCAAAATTATCCCTCAACAATCCTTTTTTATTCATGTACTAGGAATCCAGTTAATTCATATTTGATGTTATGATATTTTTTGAGTTACACTTATATGGATGTTAGTAGGCAAAATAATTGAAAGTACAAGGACTTAGAGAAGATTCCGGTGGATGGTACAAGAAAGAACCTCATGAAAAATGACGTAGGATTCACTAATGATTGGATTGATAAATTTTATTTTTAATAATAATAAAAATTTATAAAAAAATATCATTTTACTAAATTTAATATATGATGTAATTTAATCATATATATATATATATATATATATATATATATATATATATATATATACATACATATATATATAATGATGAATTGCGGTAAATTTAATTTTTATTAATAGGAATATATCAGGTATTTTTCAATGAGTGATAAACCTTTTAATCTTACTTTTTAATCTTTCTATCTTTAATCATTCTTTTATTTCTTAAAATTCAGTAAATTTTTAATTTATTTAAATTTTAATTTAATTAACTTTTGAATTTTCCATATTTTGCATTTAATTTGGTCTACTTGAATTGTTTCCAATAATTTAAAAATCACTCTCTCCTTTTTATTACATTTGCAGGGTATGTGTGGTAGCAATTAAAACATTATTTTAAAAGGATGTGGAGTAAGGTAGAGTTAAAAGCATTGATTCTAAAGATGATAATTTATCAAATATTACTAAAAAAATGTTATATATAAAGAGGTGTTTTGAAAGTTAAATTGAAATAATATTTATAATTTTTTATTGTATATGATTATATATTTATTATATTTATTATGAGACAAAAAATAATTACTAATATTATAAATCACATATATCACACTATATAATTTATCAAATATTATTAAAAATGTTGTATATGAAAGTGTTTCAAGAGATTATATTTATAATCTTTTTATTCTATGTTTTTATATTTTTTATTTTTATATCCATACAAATGAGACTAGAAACAATAACTAGTATTACAAATTCCGTGCATAACATCGGTGTGATACTATTTGCAGTTTTATTTATAAAAGAATAAGTAATTAATTCATCAAGACTAATAAAAATAGTTACATATTAAAAATATTAATGTTATTATAAAAATATCTATCATATTAAATGACAAAGATAATAACTTGCATGGAGAATAAGAGAGTGTTTATTTAATATAGCTTTATAATACATTAAAGATATAAAAAAATAGTAATTAATATATTTAAAAATAATTTTATAATTAGAAAAAAAAATATTGACAGTTGTTTCTTATAATAGGATCGGAGGTAGTATTATACAATATAATTGTATAGTAAATTTTAATCTAAAAAAAATTGTATAAAAAACTCTCTTGAGTATTAAGGAGGCAATTAATTTATTACAAAATGCAACATTATTTTAAAAACCAACTAATTAAATATTAATTATTGGTTTTATCCTAATTTCCTTTTACCTAAGAGTTATCTGAATTTCTATAAATAAAATTATCAATAACAAAAAAAATTAAAATGTGTTTTATGTTATAATATTTTCATAAGTAAAATAAAATTGCCCTTTCTTTTTATAACATTTACACATTAAAGCATTTTCACAATAAATTAAGCAAAGTCAAAATATAACTATTAAATTCAAAAAATGAGTTTTTCTATTATATTTAAAAATGTTAAAGCATGTTTTGTGTTTAATTAATTAATTTTAAAAAATAAGAAAAAATTAATAACTATTATAATATGAAAAAGTAAACCAATTCAGTAGATATTTATACATTATATTAAAACAGATAGTTTTGAACATGAAACTTAAAGTAATCCATCCCCACTCATGTCATTTCCATAAATTGTCATGTGGGCTCCTAAATTGATACGTAAAGGACTCCTTATATTCTCAATTTAGTAAACTTGACCAGTCTGTATCAGGCAGGTAAGCCAGGTTTTCTTTACCTGCTAGTTGCAACTTATCATCAGACTTTGGCTTTGACAACTACAATCTCATCTCCTTAGATTTGGCTTACACAATTGATTTCAATCACCTATTTGGTGTTCTCGACATTTCGATGTTATCCATAGCAAAGGGAATTCTTAATTACCTACTCTTTACTTGACCAAATTTTAAGTATTAATTCTACTATAACGTATAATATTACAAGTTTAATGTGCCAAAACTATTAAATACTACAGTTCTTAACATAAGCTTATCCTGCCTAATTTCCTTTCGTATATATTTTTACACATAAAAACCCCATAAAAATTTTAACTTAAATTTTAGGGCCTTCAAGAGAAGAACCCTCCAAAAATAGCCGTATGCCATTATAAGTGGCAAGCACACGGTATTCTTTAGTAAAAGGCGAAAGAATAGTTCGCTTTGTGCTTACCACATGACTCCGTGCCCTGAGACACAGCATTTTCTTTCATTTTATATTAAGAGTAGTTGCTTCCACTCTCTGCTGTATTTGATGTGGGCTCCAAATAGTAGCTCTACTCATTCCCACATGACCTTCTATTGTGCTTTGAGAGTCAAGTGTCCCTAATAGGTAGTCCTTTTTTAGTCATGACTAGGAGTGGAATCTCAGTGTTAATGATATCTATTGGTTATTTTGTGGATGTTAGTAGGCAAAGTAATTGGAAGAACACAGGATTAATTATATATTACAATGCCTAAACAACTTTCTTTGCTACCATAGAAACCTGTGGTATTAGGGACAAGCAGCAGTTGCAATTATGACCACTTCTTCCAATTAAGTTAATGAAGGTACAAGCTCCATACAATTTGCGTCAAACATTTCTTGCAATCCATCTTCTCATCTTGTAAGATGTCCCACAATTTCTTCACCAATTCATTTTCAGCCCTCCTATCCAAGTTTTCCTCCTTCTTCCAAGCTTTAAGCACAATAAAATTGGTTACATAGTACAGTCAATCGAGGCAAATTAGGCTGTTATTGTCAGCAAACAAAAAACTCTGGTAGCCTAATTTCAAAGACACTTGAGTATCATATTGCTGGCAAATCATACAGACAGCAGCACAGTACTAATGAACTTGCTGTGTTTAATTTTATGAATAGCTTGTTATATATTTCCATGAACTTCACTGCATTACGTGACAAAAATCAATCGAATTCATTGAATGGATGAAGTAAACCGCTTCTTTGAATTGTTAAGCAGCTGACATGTTTGACATTGAGTATTACCGTTTGAAGAAAAATGGCTGCAAAAGTGAAAATAAATAGGCATATATATTCCCTCTTATTTACATAAGTAATAGAGTCTGAAGCCAAATGATTGATCCTATTTGGTTTCAGTTTTGTAGACAATTTGGTTTGACTTGCTGTGTGAGAGTCTTGGTGATTATTTTATCCAAGAGTAATTTATCAACAACTTTCATCAGCAAATTATATAAGAAAAGGAGCGAATTCCAACCTCAATTGTAGTTTTAGTTTACAAGCCTTAATCGCATCTATTTTTACACCTCAATTCTACAATCTATATTTTTTCCCCTGCCTCATCTAATAAGGGTAACAATTTATATCAGGACTAAATACATAGTCTGTTTGTGTGTATTTCGTATCATGCAATAGCGTTTTTAATAGGCATGTTGATATACTCTAGGACATGCTCGTTACTCTCTAAGTTTTACCTAAGTAATTAGATTTTTATGAAAGCGAAGTACCTACAAAATTGACCGTTCCGCCAATCAATCTAATCTCTGGAAAAGTAATATTATATATTATTCGTATATTTAACCTATATGAAAATAATATCTATTAATCTGAAATTTTATAACCGGTTATTTCCCCTTCTGAAGATTTAAATCATAATTTTAAGAAATAATATATTAGCGCACAACTCTCCGGTGAGAAAACGAACGAAAATTTGTTATTTATATCAATCAATATCAAAATTCAATTTAAGCAACAGCATATATGTAATTGTCAACCATTATAATCATATCGACAATGTACAGCCTCAAACAAAACATAGGAAAAAAGAAAGTCTTCTCTTGACATGTAAAACAATGGAAAAAATGTATACACAAACGAGTAGTGTATCTGTTTGTATACCATAATTACTTACATCATATCATACAAACAATATAGCTATTAAATAATTTGGCATAAATCATTTCAGTCTTCAATAATTCCATTTTACCCCATCTATTGTACCATTCTTCAATCATTCAATTTTACCCAATAAATTAATACTATTGGGACAGATTTATCTCCTCCACAATTTAGCATGCTTGACTTTGAGTTTCGGTAAAGCATCGATTTTCTCTCATGAATCATAGAAAGATATCCTCATCATGCCTTGATAACAAGGTTGTTTATAGCAGGAGCATTGCCATCAAGAAGGTTCTCAAGTGACCTGGCTTTTCTGCTCCGAACTCTACCTGCTTCCTTCAACAACTCATCCAACCTTCTCTTCTCATCATCCACGTCAGGATTTGCTGTCCCAAGCTTTTCCTCCCTCGTGCTAACAACGTACTCCAGAATTTGAATTGCATCATCCAGTCTTAAATACAAGATTTAACCCCATTAGAGAGAAAATAACATCTACCCTTATCATATCTTAGATAATCTAAATGCTCTTGGAAGTCATAAAGAAGCTAGACTTTGTCATTAAGCTTCCATTTCCCTAGTCATTAATTAGTGATTATTTTTTTCTGCTAGAACAATAGCTACGTGGTTTCAAAAGGTAAATCCGACTTAAGCTTAATTTGAATAAACTTCTCAACAAACAAACGCTTATATAAGAATAAAATAAGGTAAAGAAATTCAAATTTTTTCAATAAGTTATTAGCTTTTAAAGATATTCGATAAAAAAAACTTCCAAGAAAGTTTATATTCATAAGCTAATTTTAAGTTACAAGAGAAGTTTAATTTATTTTATCATTTTATTTTTTTCTCTTACAAATACTTATGGAAAAGTATATCTAACCATGGTGAATTTGAAGTGATGCATATGCTTTAATAGAGAAAAGAGATCAGCAAATATGTAAAGGAATGACTCAAAAAGGAAGATAAAAGATGGATACCTGCCAATGGCATCATAAGTGCCAGCTAGATTACTATATACACCAAGTGTTTCTGGGTGATATGGTCCATACTCATGTTCCAAAATACTCTTTGCTTCTTCAAACAATTCTGTAGCCTCATTCAAGGCATAACGCTGCACGCAGGCAAGTCCCATTTGATTAAGAGCAATACCAAAGAAGGATGATTTCTTTTCGCCAATTGCACGAAGCTTTGAAACAGCGGTCTTCAAAGTATTGTAAGATTCAGTATAGTTCCCCAACATGTAGTACATGACTCCCATCTGAGCTTCAATTCCTGCGATTGTGCTTTGCTGACCCGGGGCATCATTATACATCTCCCGTGCTTTCTGCAGTAATTTAAGCGCCTGTTCAAGCTCATTCATTGACTCATAGATAGTTGAAATATTTGTAAGACCACTAGCAACCTCCTCTGGAGGAACTCCAGGCATTGGATTTTCGTATATTCTAAGTGCACTCTCACAATATGATTTTGATTCCCTTAACTTTCCTGTCCTGTTATACAAGTCGGCCAAACGTAAAAAGACTGATCCAACTGCTGGGTGGTTCTCCCCTTTGCTGGTCTTGAAAACAGTTAGTGCTTTCTGGTATGCAAAGACAGCCTCGTCATATCGTGACAAGGATAAGTATGTGTCTCCAATGCTGCAGTCAACAGAGGCCACTTCCATTTCCTGGCCATTTGCTACCATTGCCATGCTGGCTAAAACAAGATGCTCAAGAGCTGCTTCGTGGTTTCCCTTTGTTTCACATATAAGGCCCATGAGCCTCCTATCAGCTGCCTCTTCAAGAGATGGGGTTGAACTATTTGCTTTATGAATGTCAAGAGCCATTTGACATAGCCTCTCTGCTTCATCAAATTGCAAAGCTTGAACATTAGCCTCGGCCACATACCGACAAGTCTCACCAACTCTTGGGTCTGTCTCTCCCAACACCTCCCTCTGGACTTCTAACCCAGTGGTGTAGCACACAATTGAATTCTCAAGCTGGCCCAGCATAGCGTAGGTGTCTCCCAATTGCATGTGACCAGCAAATTTAGCAAGGGCATGCTGTTGACTTTCATTAACAACAGGAATCTCAATTGAGCGCTCAAGAATTGGAATCGCCTCATTGTATTGACCCAAGTTGCAATATATTGCTGCTGTAACATGTAGACACATAACCAACTCCAAACTTGGCTTCTCATTACCAAACTTCTCAAACAATTTCTTTGCTTGAAGCGCTAATTCAAGAGCCTTCTGCGGATTATCTCCTGATGAGATCAGATCTCTTGCTTGCTTTAGTAATACTGGTGCCTGCTCTGGTCTATCTAATGTTGATTCAGCTGCATTGTCTACTCGATTTCGTGACATTGACTTTCCAGAAGAAGAATTCTTTAAATTCTTCACACCAGTAACTCCACTAACTTGTTTCCTCAAAGGCTTATCATTCTTTTTTCCAGTAGGAGCTTTTGCAAGAGAACGTTTTCCCTTGGGTGCTAATTTTGGCGAAATCTCAGGTCCCAACTGTGAATTAGATGCTTTGACAGATTTTTCTGAAGAAACAGAACTTGTAACTGCAGGTTGAATCTCCAGAACCTCATCCACCTTATCCAACTTCTTCTCATTGGATAAACCATCCAATCCACAAGATATTTCACTACTTGAACTCCCCTCATCCGGCCCTTTTTCCACCCCCACTTCCTCTTCCATTATCTCCACCTCCCTCATTCGTCCTCCAACTAGATGGCGCAACTCCGAATCGATTCTAGACTCTTCACCATCAGATCCAAAACTCTGTCTTGAGGGTGACTGATCAGAACTCTGCATGTCACAGACATTTTCATAAAGCTGCTGAATGGATGGCTCAGCCACCCCATCAACAGCAACATTAGCACCATCGCCGTGACGTCTTTGTGGACCAAAGGAACTCCTTGGGGACTTAACTGAATTTAAGGCCTCCTTAGAGAGGGATTCATGGTTCCCATTCATCTCATTATCTTCCCCTTCATCATGAACCCCATTTGTAACAATTCCAGGCATATTCAGTTCCTTCATGTACTAAAACTCCTGGAACAACCAATATCAAACACATGGTCTTCAAATTAAACACCAGCCACAGCAGATCCAAGAAAGAGGAATCAATCCAAAACACACACACACACACACACAAAAAAAAAAAAAACAAACGAAGAGAAAAACACGTGTCAAAGGAAATGCAACCGACAACGTAATATAGATGGTAACATGATGTTCATGAGTTTTGTCATTCAAATAATGGTTGCGAAACCAAACTAAAGCTCAAAGCAGAAACATCACAAGTCACAATTAGCAAGAGTCAAAATTCCTCATCTTTGGCCCGTTCTATTCAATGATAATTACAAAACACCCGTTGGATCTCCCACAACACAGTCACTCGGAATTATTAACGTTAAGAAACAAAAAACACCAAAATAGAAACAACTTCCAGCACTGAAAAGAAAAAGGCGAATAATATATATAATAATACAATAAAGACAGAGAAAATTACGGGGTTCTGTATTTTATTTTTTTGTATCGATTTCGTCTTTTTCCCCTTCGTCGGATTCGGAGGCATAAAATTTAAACGATTCAAATAATTAAGAAGAAGAAGAAGGGAAAGGACACACACCTTAAGAATAAAGCATGGGTGAAGAGAAGCAGAGAGTGTCGGTTGCAGAGAGACAGAGATGTGTGAATGTGTATATATAGTGAATGAGGAAGAAAAACTGAACACACTTCTTTGGTGAGATGTATGTGTTAATCGAAGAGATAGGATGGAGGAATGAATGAAACAGAGACGTGAATGGTAGTGGCAGGGGCAAAATGGGGATTTAAATGAATTTAATATTACAAATAATTTGACGAAGAAAAAGATTAAAAATATGAAACAACGGAAAAAAAAGGATATTTGCAGAACTGTAATGTCAGAAAAAGGAGGGAAGCAAATGAACACGACCTCTCCCCTAACCACGCCGACCCTGTTTTCTTCTCTGTCTTTTCTCTTTGTCAACCCACCTGCACTCCGCCACGTGCCAGTCCTCTACTCTTTTCCATGGACCATTATGCCCCTTCAAAAATATGCCCCAACACCAAGACAAATCCCCTCTTTTTTTCCCTCTTTTTTATAAGCTTTAATTACACCTTTGCTCTGGTAATGAATAATTGAAACATAAAATGCTTTTAAAAGTTTAAAAGTGAAAAAATTTAAGATCAATTGATACAATTTCAAAGATTTTATAAGATGTGAGGATAGGATTTGAACAAGAAAAGAATGTTAGAAGAAGTGAATATTAGTTAATTTGTAACTTAGATTTGGTTAGGGTGATTCTTTCTAATCTTCTTCCTCCATCATTTTGTTTTATTTGCCAAGTTATCTTTTCAATTAGTTTGCTGCCAATGGAAAACAGGTCGGTCAGATAGACTGCGAGTCACACTCAAAAATTACTTGCCTCCTTTGTAACCTCACTCTTAAGCTCTTTCAATTTCGTTAATAATTGTCTATTGCTTAATGTTAAGGAGATACAAGTGACAAGACACAGAGGGGGGAAATTTTACTGTTTGCTCTCTTAAATATTATTTAATATTGTGTGTATTTTATTTATATTTGGATATTTTACGTTTTTTTATAAAAGGTTTAAATATTTTTTTATTCTACATTTTCATAAAATTTTTATTTTAATCCTCTTATTTTATTTTATTTTTTTTATTTTCAATCTCTAATGTCAATGTGATTTTATATAAAAAAATTTACCCTTAACAATTTATTAATTAATCACTTCATTATTAGGAATTAAAAATTTTGAATTTAAAAAATAAAAAATAGATGGATTATCATTTATTTTTGTAAACAAAGTTAAAAATGTGTGTGTGAATGATAAGCCAAACCATTAAAAGCACATGGGGTAAAGGTGTTTAAAATTAAACTATATCTTCTTCAAATCACTAAAATGAGTTGAAAAAAATCATTGATTAAATAAAAAACTTCAAATATTTTTTTATTGCAGTTTGATTCAATTTTTCAGCTTTTGTTGTTAAATCAAATCAAATTAAACTAATCTACGATTATGATATGTTTCTTTTAATTTCTTATTATATTCTATATAAAAATTATTATTTTTCTTTAACTTTAGTGTAACTATGCATAAACATTTGATCTCCTGTTTATTCTAGACTTTCAACTTCTCACCTCAATGGAGTTTTTTTTTTTTTTTTTTCCTGCCTTTTCTATCAACAAATTCATTCTTCATTCACCATTTCACCACTTTGATTAGCGTTTATCTATTCTTTGTTTTTCTAATAAACCCATAAAAGTATAAGTTAAAAAGTTAAATTAAAATTCATATAAAAATATTATTAGTTTGATTTAATTAGGTTTTAAATTATATTCAAAGAAAAATAAACCAAATTGTATATTGTTTTTATATGATAATCGAAACAAACCTAGTGCAAAGTCTTCATGTACTCCACTTTTTTTTTGTTAAAAACTTTAGCTTTTTGAGAAAATATTAAACTTAAAATATTAAAACATGAATCGAGAATAAAATTCCACGTCACATTTGAAAAGATGTAATAATTTGTCGAGAAAGTGATGAAGAATGTTTATGTTTCAATTGTGAATCTTTGATAGTCCAATTCACTTATGGTTGTCACGTGATTAGGAATTTGTTGATGTCACCATAATCTAGCGGTAAATATAATATAAATGTTAGAATAATTGAAAATAAAATTAGGAGAATAGAATGGATAGTGACATAAGTATATATAAAATGCATTTGTGCTAATAATAATGACAAAGTGGTTATATGGGTGAAGGTAGCATATGTGTTGTACTTTGTTGCTTGTGGTCTGAATTGGTGGGAAGGAATGGGTAGAGAGCATTGAGTGATGACTATGATAGCATGTGAAGGGAATAACTAGGCGTCCCCGCGTGCAGTTGCTGGAACAATAATGCAATCTAAATGACTTCATTCGATACGGAGAATTATATTTTACACTTGAAAACCAAATTCTTGTATGCTTTAATTAACATTATGATACAATTATAGGGGCAACTGAGTTTAAACTTTACACCATGAAAGATTGTTTGATTTAGTACCCCCAATGATTATTATGACCATAATAGAAAAACGTAAATCCCACATTCCTGGTTATGGGTGTACTTCAAATCCATTACTAAATTATTGATCATTCTCTTTGAGTAGATCTTTCAAAAATATAAAACAATGTGAAGAACACAATGTCCCACTTGCGTTGCCCTTTAAGAGAGAGTCGGCACCGTTTAATAATTTGGACCATTTTGGCAATTGGCATCACAGTTCACAGCCCCACCTCTCTCTTCCATCTAGTTTTGGCTTTCGATTGTCGATTGTGCATCAATGACTTTTTAACTTATAAAAGTGGGTGGTTTCTAGGTCTCTTCTTTATTTTGGTTTGTCCGATACATGAAAATATTGTTCTGGTTACGACTACCAACGACTAGGAATTCACCACATTTTTTTTAATATCATGCCCCAAACAAAAAAATAATAATTTGATGAGTTAAATAGGTTGTTATAATCAAATTAGAATGTCTATTTAGTTCCACGTTAATTTAGGAAGGGTGTGTATTTTTCTTTTTATACTCAACCTGTATTTGCTAATTCTAATGCAAATCTAAACATACTTAAATTGATTTTGCGGAGAAAATATGATCTTCTTTTGGTTTTTTTTTTATATGGTAAAAATTTAACATAATTGCTAAAATATGATCTTTCTAGATGAATTACGAACATGTGTTTTTATTATTATTATTAAAAAACGTCAATGGCATTTTTATGTGTTTATAAAGTTGTTAAATTTTAAAATTTGTCAATAGCATTTTTATTTCTACAGAAATTGATTTTTGCAATTAAATATTATAAATGACAAGTTTTGTGGGTAAAAATTTTGTCTTTTAGCTAATGAAAGTGGGTCTAATAACAATTAAAAAGTAGGGCGAGTTCAAAATCCCTTATCCTTTTAGGGTTTAACTCAAAATGTAGTTTCATCTAATGGTTAGATTTTCTAAAATACACAATCCCAATTCCTTGATTAATTGGTTTTAAAATAAATTTAGTTTCCTAATTCATTAGATAAAGCAAATAATGTTCAATATTAAGATTTAAAACCCATTTGACCATATCATCATAAATTTCTATTTCTAGACAATTAATAACAACCAAATTGATCATAGTCCAAGAAAGTTTACAACTTTCCAGCCATGAGCTCCTTTTCATCAACCTCATTCACATAAAATAGAGAGACATTAAGTTTAGAATCAAAATGTTAGATTAAAACTTATATCTTGAGTTATATTTATTGCTTAGTTCATTGCAAGAGGTAAAAAAATAAGTTCTTAATTCATTGTAAGAGGTAAAAGAATAAGTTCATCCTTACTTAACCCCAAGATATTTAGTTAGACATAATGGAAGTAAATAAACTAAAACTGAAATATATTGCTAAAAAGAAAATCATGTTTACAAAAATAGCTTATAGAAGATAAATGAAATGAGAGAAGCTATTGTTCCATTACAAAAACCAGAGAAAAATGGGGTCTAACCCAAGCTCCCATAAGAATCCTCTAGAAAGGAAGTAAGAAAATTGCCCTAGCTGTCATCCCTACGTAAACTATACAAAAATCTAAATTTTTGTGCCTCTAGAATGTAATAAAAAATGAAAGATAAAAGATTCTGTCTTTTTCAGAAAATTTTGCTTTTATATGCTCTGTCAGCATTATGTCTCCACAATTAAAAGTTCATGTCCCCACAACTGTGTCCTACAGCACTTAACTTATGCTCTTTAAGTCCAATTGTCAATTTCCTTCTAATTCCTTCAAAACTTAAATGTCAGCCATCAAAATATGAATGATTCATCAAATTTTCAGCAATTACAACATTCTATTGAATTTTCTAATTAATTACATTAACTTATAATTTAAATTCAATGAAATATGCCAAAAATATTTAATTTTCTAGATGAGTTAGTGACTTATCACAACTCCAAACTTAAATGTTTGCTTGTCCTCAAGCAAATTCTTTTCTTTTTCTACATGAACAAAATTTTAGAATTCTAGCAAACTACCCTTTTTTCCTCTTGCAACAGCAAAATAAATTTTTTATAATCACAAGTAAACATCAATTTTCTTGACATCAAGGATTGAATTAAACTCCCTATTATTATTGTTTCACTCCTTGCTCTCAATGTATCAGCTTGTGTTTAGCTCTCTTCAATGCATTTGCTGCTATTCTTTGACCTAGATTTGGCAAATTTCTAGCTCACATCTATTCATGCAATTAGTTATAATCAAGAAGACTTTATAAGGGTTAAAAACATGGTCAAGGTTTAGGTGGAAAATATTTTGGCTGCTGGCTATTCCCTATATCAAAGAAAGTATAAGGGATAACTTTAGTAATCTGAGAATTTGGATACTTGTATGCACTTCCTCATTGAGCATTTCAAAATTTTTTTCCTTTTCAATAATGCAAACCCAAATTTCCCTTCTTATGATTTTTCTTCTTTTTAGCTCTATTTTTTTTTTTTTTTGAGTTAAGAAACTTGAGTTTGCTTCCTTTCAATAACAACAACAGTCTACATAATTTTTTAGATATATACACAACCCTAAACTTAAAAACAATGCTTGTCCTCAAGCAACTAATAGTGCAACTCCAACTTAAAAGTTTTAAGTTATCCAAAGAGGTGCTCATACTTTCTAAGTCATAAGGAGGAACAAACTGGTTTTTCACTATGGGCTAAGGGTGAAAATGTGCAGAAAAGAAAGTAGTCAGGCCCAAAGGGTTAAACAAGGATAAAGGAAGGTTGGAAAAATAGTTAAATAATTGTTCAACAAAAAATGGCCTCAATCACCTTATAACATGAAAACATATTAAGAGAAAGCAGAAAATTGACAAATCTTGCCAAGAAAAAGACAATCATAGCAATCAT